CAAACACACACACACACACACACACACACACACACACACACACACCATATTTATATGTGAGGTAGAGATACCATAGGAATAATAAGTATGTCTTCCTGTTTTCAGATATTCAGAAGTTGCTGAGGACTTCACTTTGTTTGCAGATTTTAGAATATGAATTTAGCCTTGTGAAATATATACAGTGCTTGGTTTCAGAGAGTTTGATTTCAGAAGAGGAAAAATTAAAAAAACAAAAACAACAAAACCTATTTTTTGAGGGCTCAAAAGGAAAAAAAAAAAAGGGAAAAAAAGGTCAGAAACACATCCATATCCTACGTGCTTGGAGTTGATTGAGGAAGGAAATTCTACCCAAATTATGCCAAGTAATAGTTATAATTTTGAGATATTAAGAAAATGATTAGCCAAACACATGCACATAGGATCTCTATGTTTTTGGAGACCCTCCCTGTTCAGGTGCTGCCCATCAACTGCCCTGTTTTAAATACGGACCTTGTGTGTTCTGTTCTACAAAGATTGCATTGAGAAATCTATGTGGAAACTCAAGCTGTTTGTGTGAGGTATGGGTGACAAGCCAAGTCTTAATTTCTTTATTCTAATTAGAAATTGACACAGGGTTTTAATATAGTGGAAAATACTGCTTTCCTCTGTGAAACGAATGCATGGAATTCAAAGGAGTCCCTTTCCTCTGAGCCTGGCTCAGGTCTAGGCTGACCTGGTCTGAGATGGGAGGCTTTCTGTAGGCATGTGGTGATGCTGGCCCATCAGGCCTGCTATATGGCCCTGGTACAAAAGAACCTGAGAAGACAGGCCCTTCTCATGTGGATGGAGAGGTTTACATCAGCTCATACTCAGGAACACCAAGAATATCCTCAACAGAATGTAAACAATGCTCTCACTGGCACGAGGATTGCCTAGACTGCCTATGGCACCTACAGAACCACTTCAGATGCAACAGATCCTCAGTATTAGTTAACACTGTAGTAGTTTCCAATCCAACACGTGATGAGTTCCTAAAAGTACATCAACTTTTCTTATCCTTCCACCAGACTTGTGAGGTTGGCATCATTATCTGGTCCACAGATAAGTTCACAGTGGTTTAGAAGGTGTGAGTGACCTGCCCTGCCCATATTCACACAGTTGCTATGGCAGAATATTCTAGAGTTCCTACATGTTCCTATTCATCACTGGTACTTCCAAAAATAAAGTCCTATAGAGAATCACAAGACAGGTTAAGGAAGAAATTGTTCTTGACCTCTACAAATTTGTATTTTATTAAATTAATTAATTTTTATATGAGTGGGCACATGTACCACTGTGTGCATGTGGAGGTCAGAGGATAACTTGTGGGAGTTGATTCTCTTTCCACCATGTGAATCCCAGGAATCAACCTGATGGCAAGTGCCTTTAGCAACTGTGCCATCTTGCTGGCCCTGTTTCTGACTTCTGAAAGGAATCCATAAACTTGGAAAATTATCTGACATTTGCAAAGGCGACAGACCCTCAATTGAGCAAGCATTGCTAGAGACAAGTTCCCCAGCATTTTGAATTTGTAGGGAACCAGATGCTTATAGCTCAAATTCTGTCCTTACTTGTTTACAGTGACTGCCCAGCCCCTTAACAGAACATTCCCTGAGGAATGATTGGGGGCTGCTAACTCCTTGTAGTTTGTGATTTTTCAACAGTAAGTTACCACAGCAGCTCCATTCCATTTCTACCTGGTGAGCTCAGAGACATCCTCTGAGTCATTTCATTTTTAGATTGGGATTAAATACACACACACACACACACACACACACACACACACACACACACACACACGCATGCACTCACACAGAGGCACGCACACACATGAGCATACACATACTCCCTTACCTTTTTCCTCATTGCTTCCCCAAGGGTATTTTGTTCTGAGCTAGTGGCAGATGCCACAGGAGGGAGATGGCATCTTTCAACAGAAGGCTCCCGTGACAAGCACCTGCCTCTGGCCTTGTGGGATTTCATGTTCCCTTGTTTGTCTGTAGAAACAGGCAGGAATGAGTCCTTGTTAGCTGCAGCTATGGGATGATCAGCTGAGTTTCATCTCTTGATTTTTGTTCTTTTTTCTTTTCTTTATTTTTTCAGTGCAAGAAGCAAGTTTATTTATTTTTTTGATATGGAATTAACAAGGGAATGATGCCAAAATGAGGAACAATTGCAACATTTTGCATATGGAAATGGTCCATGAAATACTTATTCAGATTGTTAAAATTATTGTCAGCTTAAAGAAGTTGAAATTCTAAGTTTGCTCACAAAAATAAAAATTCATTTCTTTTTCTTTTTCTTTTAATTAAAATTTTTGCTATTTTCATACAGTATAATTTGATGGTGTTTAGATTTCCCTCCCCTATCTGTACCTTCTCTTATTCTCCCCCACCCAATTTAAGGTGCTGTATTATATATATTATGTGTATAATATATATAATAGGACCTATAGAGTTTAATTCATGTCTCCAAATGCCCTTCAGTGTGTTTTTACTTAATTTTATTTATTAAAATTAAAAAAAAATTTTTATTTTATGTGTATGAGTGTATTGCCTGCATGGATGTAAGTGTACCTGTGTTGTGCAATGCCTATGGAGGTCAGAAAAGGGCATCAGATCTCCTGGTTGGAGTTACAGACAGTTGTCAGTTGCCATGTGGGTGCTGGTTCTCTACAAGAGCAGCCAGTGCTCCCAACCACTGAGCCATCTCTCTAGCCCCTGTTCTTTTGGTTTTTGAGACAGGGTCTCACACTAAAGCCTAACATGCTGGTGTGAAACTCACTGTATAACCTAGGCTGGCTTTGAACTGGTGTCAGTCCGCCTGCCTTAGCTTCCTGAGTGCTAGAATTACATGTATATACTACCATGCCCTGACTTGTGTGCCCTTTCTGGGATAATGTATGAATATATAGAGGACAGAAAATAGAAGTTTTATTCAATTTGGCTGATGAGAAAAAAATTGGGGAGAGTGTGTGGGGGGCATGGAAATGGCCATGGCTTTGTCTGGGACAGGGGCAGGCAGTGGGCCCAAGTTCGTTTTCTGGCTCTTGCTGACTGGGTCAGGTGGTAGAGAGAAAAAAAAAAAAACCAGCAAAAATAACAATTATGTATTGAGTACTAAATATGGGAAGAGAATTATGCACAGTGTTTTACTTGTATTAACTCAATCCCTACAGCAGTCTTCCCATTTCACAGAGTAGGAAGCAGCCTCAGCAAAATGAAGAGTTTGCCCAAGATCACAGCTAATGAGTGGGGGATAATTTAAACTCAGGCACTTGGGTGATAGAATTTGTATGGCTCAGCACCATGATGAGCCTGTCAGAGTCTCATTTGTGCATTAATTTCAAAAGTGAGTGGCACAAGGAAGTGACATTTGGCCTGCCTGTATTCTCATGTGAACTCTGCATGGTGAGGTGCACTCAGATCAGTGAGTAATAGACCTCTGGCTTCTTACCACTAAGATCTGCCTTCCTATTGGGGAAGGCACCGCCATAGAATGTGATGTGGGGTTTGTCACTCAGGAGCCGAGAGTGACCGATGTAGACGCGCCCAAGAGCCTTCTCGGAGGCTTGCTGTGTCTGTTCATTGTGACTTTCCTCTGAAGCATGAATGCGGAGGTGATTCTCTATCAATGTGTCCTAGGGAACAACACACAGTCCTGTAAACAGGCTGTCACAAAGGAACAAAGCAGTTTCCTGTAACTCAGCCTTTGTGGCTAGACTTGTGGATCCAGGAATAAAATTTCTTTTGCAAGCTGGGAAGATAAGGTTATAAAAGAAGATCTTTAATGCTGTTTACTACTATGAAACATTTAATTATTGGCAATGGAATGACATATAACTATGCCTGACTTCTTTTTGTTACACACACACACACACACACACACACACACACACACCCCAAAATGAAGTGTTTAGATCATGGTCTTTAACATCATAAAATGTCTCTCTTCCAGAAGCAGGTAGATCTCTATGAGTTCAAGGCCACCCTGGTCTACATAGTAAGTTCCAGGCTGGCCAGGGCTACATAGAAAGGCCCTGTCTTTAAAAAAGTTCTCTCCCTCTCTCTCCCCTTCTGTTGTGCTGTTGTGTGTGGTTCTTCCTCTCTCTTTCTGTCTCCTTAGCATATGACCTTGTAAAGTCAAACAAGGTTTTTCAAGATGGGAGTAGATATTGCCTGTGTTGCTTTGGGTGATTAGTAACAGCATACATACACACCACAGAGCCTTAGAATTTAGAGGGTTTTTTTTTTTTTTTTTGCATTTTTAACTCACAGTTCCATCTGTAGAGGAGTTTGTTCATTCAGGTTCAAAGTTAAGTTCTTGGACAAGCTTATCACAACTAGTAAAAAAGTAGGCTTAGATCAAGTCTAAGGCTGTCCTGGTTTGTGTCTCTGTTGCTATGATAAAGCGCTGACCAAAAGTAACCTGGGGGAGGCTTACAGATCACAGTCTTTCATCTAGGGAAGTCAGGGCAGGTACTCTAGTGGGAGCAAAGTCAGGAACTATGAAAGAATGTTGCTTACTGACTTGTTCCCCCTGGCTTGCTCCATTACCTTTCTTATACTGCACAGGCCCACCTGCCTAAGGATAACACTCACAGTGGACTGGGCCCTTGTACATCAATCAGCAACGAAGAAAATGTCCCACAGACATGCCCACGGGCCAATCTGATGGAGGAAATTCCTCAACTGAGGTTCCCTTTTTGTAGGAGTCTCTAGTTTGTGTCAAGTTGACAAAAACTAACCAGCAAAAGACCAAGAGCACTTTCTTTCTAGACAAGATCACAGCTGCCTAGATGGGGCAAGAAGTCAGGGGAGAATCTGGATCAGTAATGCAGAGAACCAGGAGATTAACTGTTAAGATGGTGACTTTAGCCCAGGACCTGGAAAGCATACATGTCCAAAGTTTACTGTGACTTTCCAAGAGGAGGATACAAGGGCAGCATTTCCCAAATGCATTGCCTGCAGAACCCTTTTGTTATTTATTTATCTATTTATTTATGTATTTGTTTATTTATTATTTATTGTCTTTTTGAAACAGGGTCTCCCTGTAGCCCCAGCTGGCCTGGAACTCACTATGGAGACCAGGCTGGCCTCTATCTAACAGCGATCCACCTGCCTCTGCTCCTCAAGTGCTGTAACTAAAGTGCTGTACCACCATGCAATGACAATGTCAGAGTTCCACAGGTGACAATTTAGGAAACAATGTTCAGAATCAAAGCAGAGAGTCTTCTTTCTGGAGACTCTCAAGAAACGGTGAAAGGAGAAAAAATCTCCTCTGAAGTCAAGAAGAACAGAGAGAAACCCAACAGAAACGGTACCTCTATCTGAGTTTCATCCTCCTGTGATGGCTTCTTCCTGAGTGGCATCAGGTAAGTCCCCTGACTGCTGTGATTCTGGGCTGCAGAGTCCATGTATCCATTAGCTCCAGCTTCCTCTTCATCCAAGCCCTGCTGACCTGCAAAGGAGAAGAGTGGGTCATCTGGGAACCTCAGACATGGCACTGAGCATGGTGTTGTTGCTGCTTCCCTGAGCAACGGTGGCCAAGCCCTTATTTCTTCTGCTCTCATATTTCTGTATTTCTGATAGTGTCTTGTGGAAATGACAGCCAGCTGGTAGACGCAGCTGCACTGGATGTCAGGAGACTCAGTGGACACATCTGTAAAAAGGGGACACTACTTTCTTGCTCTTACTTTCTTGCAGAATTGTCTGGACCTCAAATCAGTTAATGACAGTGACTGTTCTGTGTGAAGTGCAAGGAGTCCTGGGTGGCAGTGGTGTGACTGTGTGTGTGTGTGTGTGTGAGAGAGAGAGAGAGAGAGAGAGAGAGAGAGAGAGAGACAGAGAGAGAGAGAAAGAGAGAGAGACCTGCTGCCCTGACCTGTTGTCACTGAGATGCTGAGCTGGAAGCCCGCTCTTGGGGTTCCTGGGTGTCTCCTGGTGGTTTGCTTGGGGAAGACCTTTGCCTACTGCGGGGAAGTGGGATTGCCTAGCTTTGGATTCATCCTGTCTACAGCCCTCAGGAAGGATCTGAGTCAACAGATGACTCCAGCATAGTTAACAAATCTTTCATCGATAGTTTAAAGGGTCCTGCAGCTATTTTCATCACCTACTCAAGGTAGATTTATTGCTGAAAGAGTCTGGCAAACCTTCCTTGTTTGGAGCCAAGCTTTAGCAATACCTCTACTCCAAGCATGCAGCTATGTGGAACAATCCGGGGTTGTCTTTCAACCAGGGGCTCTGGGAGCCTCCAGGTGCCCTGGGTGAGATGGAGAACTGGCCTTCTGGGAGTGCCTGTTCCTTCTGCCAGTCAGCCTTACCTTCCCCGTATGCTCTCCAACCCTCACCTGTTGTCATATTCTGTTCCTTGGTGCCACTGGCTCAAGAGTCAGATGCCTGTGAGGGGGGGGCACCCCCCCTCCAGCTCTCCTTCCTCTTCCTGAAGGCTACCCTGTTTTGAAGTGATACTGAAAGTATTATTAATGGACAGGACAAGCTCAGGTTCAGGTTCAGATGTCTGCCTGGCCTTTAATGGCCTGGGGAGTTTAATGGATCCTAGGAATTCCTCCATCTGAGACAGCTCAGGGCCATGTTGACTTGTCCTCAAGAAAACCTCAGTTCCATACAGAGTACAGCACCAAAGACCTTTTGGGGTACTCTAGAATGGTCCTTTGGTGTTAAGCCAGCCTGAAGATCCATCCTTCCCAGTCAGATTCATATGGAACCAGAAATACATTTCTGAGGGTAGAGGAAGTGGAACTCCAGCCAAATGGATACTTACTGAACAGCTGTGTACCTGAGTGTATGAGAGGGGCAGGGGCATTATGGGTAGGGATACAGACAGATCATTTCTCTTTGGCCATGTCCAAGTGAGACTGAATGTGTGACTCAGTTGATGTGAGAGTAAAAAGAATTCATTCTCAGTACACGTCCTTGCCTGGCTCATTTGTTTATGCTAATAGAAACAGGCTGGCAAGAAAAATACTGGACATTTTAATTATTGAAAGGAGACCAAAGTTTAGTCTCTTACTACATCAAATATGGGCTCAGATCATCCAAATAATGTGATTCATGCTAGGAATTTAGAACTCTTGGAGAACTTTTACGTCTGTCTTCTCCTGTGATCTCTCTCTCTCTCTCTCTCTCTCTCTCTCTCTCTCTCTCTGTTGTCTGTGCCCATGCAGAGGCCAGAAGAGGAGGCAAAGAATCTTCCTCTGTCACTCTTCATCTTAATCTTTTTTTTTTTTTTGGTCTTTTTGAGACAGGGTCTCCCTGTAGCCCCAGCTGGCCTGGAACTCACTATGTAGACCAGGCTGGCCTTGAACTCACAGAGATCCACCTGCCTCTGCCTCCCAAGTGCTGGGATTAAAGGTGTACCACCACACCTAGCCATCTTATTATTTTATTTAAAAATATTTTATTTATTATATTTATTTTTATATGTGTGAGTGTATTGCCTTCATGTATGTAAGTGCACCTATGTCATGCAATGCCCACAGAGGTCAGAAGAGGTGTTGGATCCCCTGGAACTGGAGTTATGGATGGTTGCTCACTGCCATGTGGGTACTGGGAGTCAAACACAGGTTCTCTGCAAGAGTAGCCAGTGCTTTTAACCACTGAGCCATCTGCAGCCTTTCCTTTCTCTGAACCTGAAGCTTGCCATTTTGGCTAGATTGGCTGGCCAATGACCTACTGGTATCTGCCTGTCTCCACCCTGAAGGCTAAAAGTTCAACTTTTAGATGGGTGCTGAGGATCCGAATTCAGGTCTTTTTGCTTTCATAGTATGAGCCATTTCTTCAGCCCTCTTGTGATTTTTCACAACAGATGGGGGGGTAGGGAGGAGTTGGGGGCTGGAAGGGATGCTGACACCATTGCTTCCATTTTACAGATGAGCAAACTACCGAAGTTTGGCCAACATCTCATTGGGAGAACTGAGCTTTTCAGCCAGGACTTCTCCTATGTCTCCAGATAAAACAGCAAACAGAAGGTTAAAGAGTGACAAAGTCAAAACCAATGAAAACATCAGTTAGGATTCAAGTTTTAGCCTCTGAACTCCTTTTACTTCTTTAAAAATTGATTTTTTTGCCCCTGTGATCATGGGCAATTGGGCATTGCAATTAGTAATTATGCTAAAAAAAAAAAAAACCCAAAAGCCAGGGAGGTCTATAATTAACATTTATTGAGTGCTTACTATGTGCCAGGGACTGCATTATCCCCTTGAACTCCCACATACAATCCTATGAAGTATAAGTGGTATGGTCACTCTATTTTATAAATGGGGAAACTAAGGCTGAGAGAGGTCATATGGCTTAGAATCTGGTGCTGATGCTTCATGTCCAATCCCTATCTACAGTTAGCAAAGCCACTGATCCTGTGGGTGTGCAATGATACCCCTCCCCCACTGAGAGTGCTGCAATCCACTTTATTGTGTCCCAGTGCATCGAAATCTAAGGCTATCAACTAGAGACTATAGGATTTGTGAGGAAAGAGATCATAGATAATGGTGGCATAGCATGCCACCTGGGGAAGGGCAGGGGTCCCCACATGGGCACATTTTTATGTAGATTCCAATCCCTCGGACATGGATTGCCAAAAAACTTGGTTTCTTCAATGCCCCAGAATCAAGTGGTTTAAGGAATTTTGATTTCTGTTGGCAAAGAAAATAGAGACTTATGTTATGGACCAAAGTATTAACATATAAAGAGAAAGACAGTTGCCTGATCAAGATGTTTCATGGGCCTGGAAAGATGACTCAGTGGTCAAGAGTTCTGGCTGCTCTTGCAAAGGACCCAGGTTTGGTTCCTAGCACCCATATGGCAGCTAACAATTGTCCATAACTCCAGTTCCAGGGTATCCAATGCCCTCTTCTGGCTTCTGCCAGCATCGCACACTTGAGTATACATATACATGCAAGCAATATACTCATACACATAAAAAAATGTTTCATGTGTACAAACTGAATGTTGACTAGATTTTGAGCAACCAGAGTCTAGACTCAAGTGAACTGTATAGCTGGAGTACTTCATAGAGTTCTACCTGCCTCTGCCTCTTGAGTGCTGGGATGAAGGGTGTGTGCCACCACACTAGGCTGCAAAATTACCTGTATATGATGCTAGGCTCTTATACTTTTCTCAAGAGCTCCACTACCAGTCATGCCCATTATAGCTTATCTTGTCTTGTCTGCCCATTACAGCTACTCATTTTTTCCTGTCTCTTTTACCAAAGACAATTTATGGCTCTTTCAATGCCACAAGTTCCCAAGAATAATATTAACAGGTAGACATCTCCACAGTATTGCACAGCTTACAGCCAGATCATAATAATTTTTTATGCAATATTGAGGTCCTCTTAATCTTCCTGATATACAAATGAACAAACAAGCTTAATTAAAGAGATAAATGATTTGTTTAAGATCTTCTATCTAGCAAATGAGACGGCAGCCATTGAAAACAAATTTCTGGCTCCAACATCTATATTTTTTCTCATTATTGTCATAAAAATCATAGGATTAAAGAATATTAGATGATGTCACATGTCTGTAACTGCTGCACCTGGGAAGCTAAGGCAGGAGGACTGAGTTTGAGGTTAGCCTGGGCTACACAGTGAGACTCTGTCTCAAAAAAAACCAACCAACCAATTAACCGACCAACCAACCCACCAACCAACCAACCAACCAGCCAACCCACCAACCAACCAACCCATCAACCAACCAAAAAAAAGAATATTAGAGTTGGATCAAGCCTAAGAAATCTGAACTCTAGAGTCTGTACCTGTGCTCTTCAGCACAGTAGCCACATGTTGGTATTTGTATGTAAATGAATTAAAATAAAAAAGAACTCAGTTTCACAGTTTCTGTGACTACATTTCAAGTGCTTGCTATATGTACATGACTGATGGGGAATTCTATTGGAAGCACACATGTAATTCTATCTGGACTGAGTCATTCATCTTACAGATGTGGGCAGTGGGACCCAGAACCCCTAGATCTTATTCCAGAAAATTTTACTTTAAGCTGTTAAAATCCAAATATCTGAGAACTTGTCACAAAATTGATAGGTATGGGAATAGCAAGTTGGCTCAGTGGTTAAAGTGCTTGCCATGCAAGTGTGAGACCCTGAGTTCAGATTCCCAGAGTGCATATAAATGTTAGGTGGGCATGATGGCCAACCCTTAATTCCAGCCTCAGAAGGTAGAGACAGGAGCTCCCCAGAGCAAGCTGGTTAGCAAGACTAGATATAGCAGCAAGCTCTGGGTTTGATTGAGAGAGCCTGCCTTAAGGAATCAGGTGAAGAGCAATTGATGATGATTCCCAGTATCAACTTGGGTCTCCACACATGTCATCCCACACATGTAAAAACATGCACATTCACATGCACACCACACACATAGACACACAGGAAAAATGTGGGGGAAATCAATGGGTACCTTGTTTGTAAGGTGTTCCTTGTTGAATCCAAAATGAAGGGAAGACAGGCAGGAGATGGTATTTTGGGGGTTCACCTGAAAGACCCTGTAGTGGCTTGAGATTCTTGGGTGTACTAAGTTGACTGTCCTGGAGCAGTGCCGAATCCTTGATGCACCCTGAGGGACAGGTCAGGAGTTATTAATAGAAGCATGGTTACCAATCTAGAGTTCTGGAGAAAAATACAAGTCCCACCATTTGTACTAGTCTTCTCTGCAGAGACATTAAAGAAGATGAAAGGAATTAGAGGAATCATATAGCATGCCTGGAACCCTGTCTCTATCCATTGTCTTGAGTACTTTTGGTCTTGTGCCACATGTAAGCTTAGTCTACTTTACCATCTCCAAGAACTAGGTCCGTATTGGAAACAAACAAATGAATGAACCAACAACCTTCCTTAAAGTTGGGTGGAAGTCTTGTCCTGCTTCAGGAGAGATCTAGTGACAGTGGGTGTGTCTTGCTTGCTTCTGTCTGCCACACGAGCAGTAGCTCTTCAAATCCAGTCATTCTCTAGTATTTGCTGAGGCTTACCAAGGGGCCCACCCCTCTGCTAGGCAGCAGGGAGACACAAAGGAGTTAGGCATGGCTTCCTCAGAGCCTGTTGGAGAGACGGTTCACTGTGCTCAACTCTGCAGCTCTGAGTCAGTGTGATGTGAGGTCAGAAAGTGAGGAGCTCATTATTGGCTGGAATTGTCAGAAGACTTTGTGGAAGACTCAGGCTTGCCAGCCTCAAAAAGACAAACGCTAAATATTTTCTCTTATTTGCAGAATCTAGATTTTAAAAGAATTATGTGTATTTCTCACTCTTTGTGTGTGTGTGTGTGTGTGTGAGAGAGAGAGAGAGAGAGAGAGAGAGAGAGAGAGAGAGAGTGTGTGTGTATGTGTGTGTGTGTGAAGGTCATGAGACCTTTTTAGTGAAGGCCTCATGAGCAGGGAGGAAGAGATCCTAAGTGAGGCGGGGAATAGAGAGGTTAATTGGCTACATGTTCTAAGAAAGCAGAAGTTGGGAGTAACAGTGAAGAAAGGGAACCAGCTGGACGAGGAGTTGGGGAAGAGACCAGAATGAGAGCAAACTTTAATGACATGTGTATAAAGATGACACAATTAATCCCATGACTCTGTATACTAACAGGAAAAGTCAACTTTAACCAGCTTTTGAAAAGGAAGGCAAAGAAATAGGCTTGAAGGGTGGAGTGGATTTATCTCAGGGGCAGAAAGAAGTGGCTAGAGAATACATTAATATCATAAAAAAGGCGAGTTCCAAGATGTGAGAGTGACAGGGCCACAGCCACCTTTCAGAGTCTCACCAGTGTTCCTCCCGCCTGAGGGTCTGCTTTAAAGAGGGTCTTTGGCAAGGAGTTATGGCAAGCGGCTTGCAAATACAAGGTACATGTGTCTTTTCTTAGACTTTTCTTAGCATGTTAGCTACATGACTTCATGGGTAGGTCTGAGACATTTGCTTGTTGTTGAGAAAGGGCCTCTTTTCTTGAGGATGTTGGGCCCAGGCTATAGGACAGTGGCCTGTTCTGCCTGGGTCCTATCCAATGATAAACACCTTTTGGTTAAGACACTCTTTTTCCTGAGTGTTAAATAAACAGAACCACCTGTAACCATGGGACTGCCTTGAAAGTAAAATCAATGGCCAGGCAAGCCCACATCACTCATTTTGTTTCAAGTCACCACTTACTGGGTAGAGAGCTATTTTCTCTCCTTTCCCAGGGTAAACCTATAAATCAAAAAGCAAGCCAGAATCCTCTGGTGCTGTGTGTTGGTGCTGAAGAAGTGGCAGCCAGCAAAGTGTGGACTGTCACATCTTAGCGCTCATCTCTCATCCCCAATATGTTTGCCAAATAAAATACAGGATGTCCAATTAAATTGGGGTTTTGGATAAACAATGAATACTTTTTAGCAGAAATATGTACCAAACACTGCAAGTCTCACTGTTGGTGTGGACGAGTGTGAGCTGAATCTGGCAACTTGCATCCCTGATCCTGGCTTTCATTTCTACATCTTTGCAGAGTGCATTGGGGTCTCTGTCATAAGAGGGGTGTTCATCTCACTACCGAGGGGATTGTGCTGGAGACCTGCCATCTTCAAGAGGACCTGGGATGACCTCAGACAGGGAAATCAGGAATGCTGGGAAGAACGTGGAGCTGCGGGTGTGGGGAGGATCTGCCTTCTGGCCCTAGCTTGGCTTTGGGCCAAAGGACTTTGAACAAATACTTTGCTTTTCTAGGTCTCTTTTTTCTTTTCTTTATATCTAATGCTTCAAAAAATGTAATTATTTTTATTTTACGTGTCTGAGTGTTTTGCCTGCATGTATTTAGGTGCCCCACATGCATGCAATGCCCATGGAGGCCAGAAGAGGGCATTGGATCCCCTGGAGCTGGAGTTATGGACAGTTGTTAGCTGCCATGTGTGTGCTGGGATCTGAACATAGGTCCTTTGGAAGAGCAGCAAGTGCTCTTAACTGCTGAGCCACCTCTCCAGCCCTGGTCTCTGTTTTTTCTTGTGAATAAGTTAAATTGGAAATCTCTGATGCCTGGGAATGGGGTAGGTTGAGAAGAAAGTTCTATATTGGGCTGTGGCGTGTGAGATGCTGAGGGTGAGGGGTGAGAGAGGTGGGAGTGGGGTAAAGTCTTCAGGTTTTCCTTTCTTCTGCAAATGTCAGGAAAGATAAAGGGCATTAGCTGGGATGAAGGCTTGTGGGTTGCTAAGTTCAGGGTCTTTGCCTTAGTGCAAAATTGGGTGATTCAGGCCTTGATGGAAAATACACCCTCACACCGGAATGCGAGGTTAGGGAGCCTGGAGTTTACATCCTCCCATTTTTCCACTAACCTGCACGTCGGAGCCTGTACATGGTGTCGGGAGGCCAAGTCCGCAAGAGACCTCGAAGGTATCTCTTGGCCGAATACCCAGGCTGGATCTGCCGTTGAGTCTGGCTCTCTGGCTGACTTCGGAAGTAGAGGTAGGGTTGCCCAGCTCTGTCCTCCTCCCTCTGTGGGGACAGCAGTCAGGAAACAGGGCAGCTGCTGAGCTCTGAGACTCCCAGTGATGCAGGATGGTTAGCACAATACTCATTAGTAATCTGGAGACGCCCAGAAAATGCCAGAAGGCACCAAAAACAGATGCCTTGGCTAATAAATGCAAATCAAGAGCCCACAGAGCAAAGCCCTGAAAGGCCCCTGAAGATTTGCAGTTGGAAGGAGAAGGGGAAATGACAAATACCAGACCCCATCTTGAGATAGAGCATTAGGATGGGATAAAGCCTCAGAAGAAACATTTCCTAGTTCAGCTGTGCAAATCAGTTCAGTCCCTTCCAAATGGCTCTGCGTTGCAATGGGAAAGTCTGTGTGTACACGAGCCTCAGCCCTCAATGCTTCTAATATAAGTACTGGGACAGACAAACCATGCCCATATTCATAGGGAGTCTGGCATTTTGAAAAACAGTCTGGCTCTGTTGCAATTCATTTCAGCTAGGGAAAAGTTTCTGGGAAGCTTCCTGCCCAAATCAGCCCCTCTGTGCAAGACATTGTGAGGAATATACAGCTTATATTTATGACTAGAGATTTATATTACATAAAGAACTTTTGCCTCATTATAATCCTATAAGGTGAACTGAGTTAATATTACTCTTACATGCAGAAACTTCAGAGGATGATTAAGCCCATGAATAACAAATGTGATACTTGTGCTGATATCTCTCACTTTCCCCTTGTTCATGGCAGATATTACTAATCCATTAAGGCATTCATGATTGCTGATTGGACATGATCTCAGAATCTATACTCTTCAAAGTTTTTTAAGCAAGGCATAATTTATATATAACATACATAGATTTAATAAAAGTTTAATAAAATTTGACAATTATATATATTTTTGGAACTGTTGACAATTATATATACCTTTGGAACTGCCATTTTAAACAAAATTGAACATTTCTCAATAACTCAGGAAGTTCCCTTGTATCACTTCCTAGTTATCTACTTTCTGCCTACCAGATAATCAAAATTTGGTTTCTTTTTTTAAACTTGTTTTTGTTTTAAAGATTTATTTAGTTTTATTTTATGTATATGAGTGTTTGCCTACATATATGTATGTGTACCATATAAATGCCTGATGCCCACAGAGGCCAGAAGAGGGTGCCCACTTCCCTGGTACCAGAGTTAAAGATGGTTGTGAGCCATGATGTGGGTGCTGGGAACTGAAGCAGCCACTGCCCTTAACCATTGAGCCATGTCTCTGGTACCATGATTTTTATTTCTAAACCCATTTATATAAATGGAAATGTATGCCGTATATTCATTGATGTGCCATGAACCTGGTCCATGGTAATCCAGTGAGAACTGGTATGAGAGATGAAACTTTCACCCCTTGGTGAAACAACTCTCACAGGCCATAATGCAGTCTGGGAAGATAAAGGGTGTCTCAGCCCATTTTCTGCTCCTGTAACAGTACCTAAGATTGGGTAATTTATAAAAAACAGAGGTTTGTTTCCTATAGCTCTGAGGGGCCTGAATCTGGTGAGGACCTTCTTGCTGTCTCATCATTGGCAGGAGGCAGTCAGACAGAAATATATATGCACTTACGTGTATACATGAGAGATGACTGTGGACATGGAGTGGGGGCTGAACTTATACTTTTATTAGGAACTCACTTTCTTGATAACTAATCCAATCTCACTGATAACCATACTAATCCAATCATGAGGGTGGAGCCCCGTGTTTGGGGATTAAGTTTCTAACTCATGAACTTTGTGACTACATTCAAACCACAGCAGAAAGTAGAAAGCTCTGCCAGTTGCCAGTGGACCCAGGCCAGAATTGAGAGCTTCAAATTGCTTATCAGTACAAAGCCTCCTGTTCTTAAAGAACATATCATCTCATCAGTGGGCCAGGACTTAGCACCATGAACCAGCTTGATAACACAAGAAAAAAAGATATGACTTTGAAGCAGGTGCTTCATTGAATGTCCCAGTGAGTAAGAACTGTGAGACTAGAGCCCAACATGTTCACACTTGTTAGGATTCAGTAAAACCTGACTTGATGGTTACCAGGATGAGGATCTTAGCACACATAACAAAAAGACCAAAGTTTGGAGAGTAACAGAGCTGGTTAAATCAGACGTTCAATGGCTCCTAAGTTCCACAGGCAGCAAGTCCCTTTGTACCTCTGAAAACAGTCTTTTGCTTCAGTCTTACAGGCCTGCTGAGCCTGAATGATGGACACAGGAGACATGAAGTAGGTCCAGAAAGCCCAGAAGAATCACGGGAGGGAGCTTATGAGAAAGCCTAAGACAGTTTATGCCTGGATTTAGGATCAGGATGTCTGCATTCAAGGTTCATTCTGCCTCAGGAACTTTATGATTTGGGGTAAATCTTGGAGCCTTTCTGAACCTCCTTCTGAAGTGGAGCTAATAGCATGTTAGAGGGAGTAAAAAGTTCATGGCATTTGGACTCACATGACTTAAAAGGGTCAGAAATCACAGGGCCCAGCAATAATAGGGACATATTATTGGGAAATCAACGACTTCATTAAACGAATGCACAGTTATAATCCCAGCTCTCCCACTTCTCAGTCACCTAAGTTATATAAACTTATCAGTAAGACTGACATAATTCCTGTCTTTCAGGGCTCCCCACCTCCCATATTATAGATTGAACCTAATGTCTTGCATGTGCTAGGCAAGTGCTCTGCCACAGACTAATATCCCTAGCCCTCCCAACCACTTCCTACCTTTTTTCTTTTTTTTTTTTGAGACAAGTTTTCACTAAATTGCCCAGGTAGGCCTTGAACTTGTGATCTTCCTGCCTCTGCTTCCTGAATAGAATGGGATTACAGACCTGTGCCACCTTGTTTGATGGTGTAAGTGAAATCATGTAAGTGAAATGTATCTTGCTGAATCTAGTTCTGACAAGGTGAGGGGTTCTATCCTCTCAGTCCTCCTGGTCTTCTTGCTCTCCTGCCTTGATCATGTGAGCCTGTTTCCAATCTTCTAAGGAGACTGAGCAGTAGCTTTGAGATCCAGTCCTGCTGAACTTATGTCCTTAGGCAAATGAATTACTTCCTGATTAATTTTGCTCAGTGTCCTCAGTGAAAGGAATCACAGGCCAAGGTATATAATGTATTCTATACTTGTAGGTGGTCAACAAATATTAGGTCTTCTCTCTTTGTCCAGGGTGTGGGACTATAGGAATTGCATAATACTTCTTCACCTCACTGCTTCTTAACAGAACTCCCAATTTATTCTTTATTATTTTTATTTGGTTAGCTGAACCCCTTTCCCAGAATCCCTTGCATTCTGAAGTGACAATATTACCTGGCACTGGACAAAGAGATGGAATAGGAAGCTCTGACAGCTTCTTGCAAAATCCTGGCTTCCACAAAGAAAGGACAGTTGTGTAACACTGGTGTGATGGCCCCTTTCTGCTTTGAACCAAAGTGTGACTTCTAGACTTACGGGGACCACTGAACAGGAGGCCTCTTCTGGGTGGACTGGAACCTCATTTCTTCCCTGTAAACCTTTGCTTCAGCTGACTGTTTTCTCTGAATTCCCACAATCTAGCCCCTTCTGTGATGCTATGGCCTCTGTGAGCACAACATCATGTCCTGTTTGAGTCTGGGCAAGACCCCCTGGTTGTCCTTGCTAGTGGGTATTTCTGAAATACCAGCTTGATTCTAGAGCTTTGCTGGCTGGCTTGCTCAAGGTGCAAGGAGTTGCCAAGACAAGTCAGGGAAGGCCTGGCCTTGGAAATTGGACTACTTACATACTGTTTTACTTAACATTTGAAAGCTGATCTTGGCCACTGTATGAGTTTACCATGGCTGCTATAACAACTCACACACAATTAGTGACTCAAATAAAACAAATGTATTATCTTACACTTCTAGCAGTCAGATGCTTGAAATGGGTCTCAGTGGGCTAATATCAAGGTGTGGCCAGGTCTGTGTTTCTGTTGGAGGCTCTGGGAAAGAACTGTTTTCCTCTTCCAACTTCTAGAGGCCCAGGTATTCCTTGGCTCGTGTCTGCCTCCTCCAAGCCAGCAACATTGGGCTGTGTCCTTCTCATGCTGCTGTCTCTCTAGCTCTCCCTTCTGAATCCTTCTTGCATTAAAAAAAATTATTTATTATTTTTATTTTATGTGTATTCATGTATTGCCTGCATGTAGGTAAGTGCACCCATGTTGTGCAATGCCCACAGAGGTCAGAAGAGGCTGTTGGATCCCCTGGGACTGGAGTTATGGATAGCTGCCATGTGAGTGCTGGGATTCGAACCCGGGTCTTCTGAACCAGTGTTCTTAACCACTGAGCAATCTCTCCAGCCCTCCTTCTTGCATTTTTAAGAATCCCTGTACTTGCCAGGCGTGGTGGTGCATACCTTTAATCCCAGCATTTGGGAGGCAGAGGCAGGTGGATCTCTCTGAGTTCAAGGCCAGCCTGGTCTACATAGTGCGTTCCAGGCCAGCTGGGACTACAGGGAGATCCTGTCTCAAAAAGACCAAAAAGAAGAATTCCTGTACCTATACATAATCCAGAATAATTTCCCCATTTAAGGCTAGCTGGCTGAGCACAGTGGTATAATCCCAGCATACAGGAGGCAGGGGCAGGAGGACTGTGAATTCAAGACCAGCCTGCACTACATAGTGAGACACTGTCTTAAAAACAAACAAACAAACAAACAAACAAAAACAAGGACTGGGGATATAACTCAATGGTAGGGTACTTGCCTAGTATGTATGAGGCTCCGGGTTCAATCCTTAGAACCAAATGGAACCAAACCAAACCAAACTACCTGATTAACAGCTCAAATTCCATTTGCAACCTTAATTCCCCTTTGCCTTATAATCTAACATATTCACAGGCTCCAGGGATTAAGAAAAAGACATCATGGGGCTCTCTCTCTCTCTCTCTCTCTCTCTCTCTCTCTCTGTGGTTTAAGTTCTTTTCTAGTTTCTCTTGGTAATTTCTTAGTGACGCCTCTGAAGTTAGTTAACAAAGT